ACTCATGTCAGGAACCTGAGATAATATGCTGATTGACAACATTGTTAAAGTATCACTTTAAAAGCTGTAGTTTGAATGTCAAAGTTAATTTCCAGGTTGCTGTTGACAAACTTATTGTTCATTTTTAATTCAATTTTTTGTTTCAATACAACACAGTAAGTTTTTCTTTATTATTGAGTTGATGTGTATGCCTTTGGCAAAGCTAACATCTGCCTTTTCAAAATCAAAGGTGATGATACCTGTGACAGTAATACAGTACGAGGTGTGTACATCAACATGTGCCTCCTACAACTAAAGACTTCTTGTTGTTTTTTTGATACACTGTGTTCTGTGGTTCAATTCGTAATACCAGATTCGTAGTCCTGTGGTTTTAGCAGCATTTTTTTTTGGCAGAATTTTTTTTTTTTTCGCCCTCTCATAAAATCAAATCAGTGTGGCCTTAATAGAAATTGATTTTTTTCCCACAGAAATAAAGTTATATAATTTGTTATAACAACCCTCCAAAAATGAAAGAAATAGTATTGCTTCCAACACACGCCTATACGTCTATGGGGTTTCCCATGTAAAGTGACGTAAGAGGTCAATGAATTAAGTAAATAAACACCAAAACATGTTTATGTCGCTCACCCTTTACATCTCAGTATGGAGTAGCTCCACAGTTGTTCCGAATAACTGCTTGCATCTTTGATGGCATCGATCTGACAAGTTTCTGGAATTTTGCTTATGGTACAATTTCAAATTCTTCTTTTACTGGTGTGTACAGCTCAGATAACTTTGTCACATGATGCCTCAATTTGGTCCCACCGGTTTTCTATTGGGTTTAAATCAGGACTAATCGATGGCCAGGGAATCACTTTTATACAATCAAACAGCAGGGGCTTATCAAACTATTCTATCACAAGCTTGGTAGGGTGAATAGGTGCATCGTCATGCTGAAACAGGAAATCTGGTTCCATAGTTCTCTAGAATTCTCTAGAATATTGAGATATCCAAATTGGTTGAGACGCATTTACACACATGTCCAACACCTTTAGTGCTGAAACATCCTCATATCATTACACAGCCACGGCCGTATTTCACAGTTGGTACAAGACAGTTGTCGCGGTATGCTTCGTGTGGTCGCCGGCGAACTTGATTCATCCTACAACATCACCTGACTGCAATCTTTGTTGGTCCACTGTGCATGGGTGCAAGCAAAGACCATTCATGCTTGTTTCTGCTGGTATGTCAGCAGACGTCTTTTCTATTTTAGAAAGCCCATAGGACACCATTTACATGTATTTTTAGAAAGCCCATAGGACACCATTTATTTTTAGAAAGCCCATAGGACACCATGTCTTTTTAGAAAGCCCAATAGGACACCATGTCGTTTTAAAAAGCCCATAGGACACCATGTCTTTTTAGAAAGCCCTTAGGACACCATGTATTTTTAGAAAGCCTGTAGGACACCATGTATTTTTAGAAAGCCCATAGGACACCATGTCTTTTTAGAAAGCCCATAGGCCACCATGTCTTTTTAGGAAGCCCATAGGACACCATGTCCTTTTAGAAAGCCCATAGGACGCCATGTATTTTTAGAAAGGACTCCATGTATTTTTTAGAAAGCCCAATAGGATACTATGTCTTTTTAGAAAGCCCACAGGACACCATGTATTTTTTAGAAAGCCCAATAGGACACCATGTATTTTGGAAAGCCCATAGAACACCATGTATTTTTTAGAACGCCCAATAGGATACCATGTATTTTAAAAAGCCCATAGGACACCATATATTTTTTAGAAAGCCTATAGGACACCATGTATTTTAAGAAAGCCCATAAGACGCCATGTATTTTAGAAAGCCCATAGGACACCATGTATTTTTAGAAAGCCCAAAGGACACAGAGTATTTTTAGAAAGCACAAAGGACACCATGTATGTATTTTAGAAAGCCCATAGGACACCATGTCTTTTTAGAAAGCCCATAGGACACCATGTCTTTTTAGAAAGCCCATAGGACACCATGTCTTTTTAGGAAGCCCATAGGACACCATGTCCTTTTAGAAAGCCCATAGGATGCCATGTATTTTTAGAAAGCCCATAGGACACCACGTCTTTTTAGAAAGCCCATAGGACACCATGTCTTTTTAGGAAGCCCATAGGACACCATGTCTTTTTAGAAAGCCCGTAGGACGCCATGTATTTTTAGAAAGCCCATAGGACACCATGTATTTTTTAGAAAGCCCAATAGGATACTATGTATTTTAGAATGCCCATAGAAAGCCATACATTTTTTAGAAAGCCCATAGGACACCATGTATTTTTTAGAACGCCCAATAGGATACCATGTATTTTAGAAAGCCCATAGGCACCATATATTTTTTAGAAAGCCTATAGGACACCATGTATTTTAAGAAAGCCCATAAGACGCCATGTATTTTTTAGAAAGCCCATAGGACACGTCACCACGTATTTTTAGAAAGCCCATAGGACACCATGTATTTTTAGAAAGCCCATAGAATACTATGTATTTTTAGAAAGCCCATAGGATACCATGTATTTTTAGAAAGCCCATAGGACACCATGTATTTTTGGAAAGCCCATAGAACACTATGTATTTTTAACAAGCCCATAGGACACCATATATTTTTTTGAAAACCCATAAAGGCACCATATATTTTTGGTCAGACCATAAAAAAGTTGCCCAATGAAAACCTTAGTGCAGTGTAATTAATAAAACATTTAATTATTTAATAAATTATTTTTTCATAAATGAGAATGAAATTGCTAGTCTATCAATATGAATTTTTGATTGTGTATCTAATTATAAACAATGTATTGCACTTCACATGGCAACTAAATAATTATTACAAATATGCCATTGTTCAAAGCACTTAGCTGGCAAATGACTATATATACGAGTAATTACTATTTGTATATCATATCATTTTTTTTAAAATCACAAAGATGGTGAAAAGCATTTTGCTTTCTTGATATAGATAGTGTTTGATTATGTCAATCCAGTGTCAGGTATTATGTTATCCATAATTATTGATATTAGTGATTACATTATAACAAATAGGTTGTCATGTAATTGTAGTGTTTATTGATTGTATTGTTTATTCATTTATGTTGTCCCGTGCTTTTAGAGTGATTCAGTTTCAGTGATGTAATATACATTTAATTTCAATGTGCACTGCACAACAATGGTTACATTTTAAATAAATTTGGAATTAGTATATCTCCAGTGATGTAGCTATAAACAAACAAACAAAGCAAACATTTCAGGTATCCATTTAATGGGTTGACAGCTGTGGTAGATCTAATGTATTGTGGTGGTCATAATTATTTATTTATTCACAGGAGAGAAGTAGTCAGGTTTTGACTCAAAATCAAAAGCTTCTTTCAGATAATCAGAAACTAGAAGTGGTGAGTATCACTTGATTTGGAATTATAAGTAATGAATACTTGTGTGTGTCAGTGCTGTCATCGATTGGTTACTCAAGATGTCATGCATTTGCCTAGTAAATACATCTTGAAAAAATCTCTCTCCAAATTTCTTACTATTGAAGGACAGGCTTTTAGAAAGGTCTATAATGTACATCAATATGTAGAACATTGTAATAGGTGTCATAATGTTTGTTGTTATACAGGCTACTCAGCATTTTCAGACAACTCTGAATGCACAGTCAGCAGAGGTAGACCAATTGAGGGATCACTTACAACAAAGTAGAGCTGAACACAGAGCAGTTAATTTACAGTTACATGAAATGAAAAAAGTATTGGATCAGTTAAAACAGGAAATGATGAGAAAAGATGGAGAGACTTCACAAGCTGTTGGCCGAGAATATGCAGCTGATAGTCGACTTACTCAGTTACAGGCTTCCCTTATGGAGATGGAAAATCAGTAAGTCACATGGAATCATGATGTCCCTTGATAGTTAGCTTTGTCTCACACAAGTGAAACTTCACCTTTGATTTTTACAGAAGCATGTGAAGTCATGGGATAATGATTTCTGCAATAACTCCCCAGGCCATGGGGAATGTACAATTTTAATAAAATAGTTACTTTATTAGTAAAAAATAGTTAAAAACAACATGCAACAAATGTTCCTAAACATTATTGCACACTGAAATAGTACAATAAATCATTAAAACTTATCCTGCCAGCTTCATTTATTTTTACATTGACTTCACCAGCTAAGGGTTTTATTTGGACATTTTAAAAAGACTTATTCAAATTAATATTCTTTTTCTTCTAGAATTTCCAACTTGCATTTTGAGAATAAAAAACTACAGTCTGAAAACAAAGAACTTGAAGAAAAATTTAACATTTTACAAACCAAAGGGTAGGTACATATATTTATAGTACTGTCTGGTTAAATCATGTAAATGTTAGTTACTTACAGTACCCAGGAGTTAAATAACTGTGGTGTCTTTATGACTGTATACATAGGGGACTGTGTTTTTATAACTGTGTATACATAGGGGGACAGTGTTTTTATAACTGTATTCATAGGGGGACAGTGTTTTTATAACTGTATTCATAGGGGAACAGTGTCTTTATAACTGTATACATAGGGGACAGTGTCTTTATAACTATATACATAGGGGGACAGTGTTTTTATAACTGTATTCATAGGGGAACAGTGTCTTTATAACTGTATACATAGGGGGGACTGTGTTTTTATAACTGTATTCATAGGGGAACAGTGTCTTTATAACTGTATACATAGGGGAACAGTGTCTTTATAACTGTATACATAAGGGGACAGTGTCTTTATAACTATATACATAGGGGGACTGTGTTTTTATAACTGTATTCATAGGGGAACAGTGTCTTTATAACTGTATACATAGGGGGCCAGTGTCTTTATAACTGTATACATAGGGGGCCAGTGTCTTTATAACTGTATATATAGGGGGCCAGTGTCTTTATGACTGTATATATACATAGGGGGCAGTGTCTTTATAACTGTATACATAGGGGGGACTGTGTTTTTATAACTGTATTCATAGGGGAACAGTGTCTTTATAACTGTATACATAGGGGAACAGTGTCTTTATAACTGTATACATAAGGGGACAGTGTCTTTATAACTATATACATAGGGGGACTGTGTTTTTATAACTGTATTCATAGGGGAACAGTGTCTTTATAACTGTATACATAGGGGGCCAGTGTCTTTATAACTGTATACATAGGGGGCCAGTGTCTTTATAACTGTATATATAGGGGGCCAGTGTCTTTATAACTGTATACATAGGGGGCCAGTGTCTGTATAGGGGGCCAGTGTCTTTATAACTGTATATATAGGGGGACTATGTTTTTATAACTATATACATACATGTAGGGGGACTGTGTTTTTATAACTATATATATAGGGGGACTGTGTTTTTATAACTATATACATACATGTAGGGGGACTGTGTTTTTATAACTATATACATAGGGGGCCAGTGTTTTTATAACTATATACATAGGGGGCCAGTGTCTTTATAACTGTACATGTATATATACATAGGGGGGCAGTGTCTTTATATCTGTATACACAGTGGGCCAGTGTCTTTATAACTGTATACATAGGGGGTCAGTGTCTTTATAACTATATACATAGGGGGGGCAGTGTCTTTATATCTGTATACACAGTGGGCCAGTGTCTTTATAACTGTATACATAGGGGGGGCAGTGTCTTTATAACTATATACATAGGGGGCGCAGTGTCTTTATAACTATATACATAGGGGGGCCAGTGTCTTTATAACTGTATATATAGGGGGACTGTGTTTTTATAACTATATACATACATGTAGGGGGACTGTGTTTTTATAACTATATACATAGGGGGCCAGTGTCTTTATAACTGTATATATAGGGGGCCAGTGTCTTTATAACTATATACATAGGGGAGCAGGGAGCAGTGTCTTTATATCTGTATACACAGTGAGCCAGTGTCTTTATAACTGTATACATAGGGGGCCAGTGTCTTTATAACTATATACATAGGGGGCCAGTGTCTTTATAACTGTATACATAGGGGACTGTGTTTTTATAACTATATACATAGGGGGCCAGTGTCTTTATAACTGTATACATAGGGGGACTGTGTTTTTATAACTATATACATAGGGGGACTGTGTTTTTATAACTATATACATAGGGGGCCAGTGTCTTTATAACTGTACATGTATATATCCATTGGGGGGGCAGTGTCTTTATATCTGTATACACAGTGGGCCAGTGTCTTTATAACTGTATACATAGGGAGTCAGTGTCTTTATAACTATATACATAGGGGGGCAGTGTCTTTATATCTGTATACACAGTGGGCCAGTGTCTTTATAACTGTATACATAGGGGGGGCCAGTGTCTTTATAACTATATACATAGGGCGCCAGTGTCTTTATAACTGTATACATAGGGGGCCAGTGTCTTTATAACTGTATATATAGGGGGCCAGTGTCTTTATAACTATATACATAGGGGAGCAGGGAGCAGTGTCTTTATATCTGTATACACAGTGGGCCAGTGTCTTTATAACTGTATACATAGGGGGCCAGTGTCTTTATAACTATATACATAGGGGGCCAGTGTCTTTATAACTGTATACATAGGGGACTGTGTTTTTATAACTATATACATAGGGGGCCAGTGTCTTTATAACTGTATACATAGGGGGACTGTGTTTTTATAACTATATACATAGGGGGACTGTGTTTTTATAACTATATACATAGGGGGCCAGTGTCTTTATAACTGTACATGTATATATACATAGGGGGGCAGTGTCTTTATATCTGTATACACAGTGGGCCAGTGTCTTTATAACTGTATACATAGGGGGTCAGTGTCTTTATAACTATATACATAGGGGGGGCAGTGTCTTTATATCTGTATACACAGTGGGCCAGTGTCTTTATAACTGTATACATAGGGGGGGCAGTGTCTTTATAACTATATACATAGGGGGCGCAGTGTCTTTATAACTATATACATAGGGGGCCAGTGTCTTTATAACTGTATATATAGGGGGACTGTGTTTTTATAACTATATACATAGGGGGCCAGTGTCTTTATAACTATATACATAGGGGGCAGTGTCTTTATAACTGTATACATAGGGGGCCAGTGTCTTTATAACTGTATACATAGGGGGGGGGCAGTGTCTTTATAACTATATACATAGGGGGACTGTGTTTTTATAACTATATACATAGGGGGACTGTGTCTTTATAACTGTATATATAGGGGGACTGTGTTTTTATAACTATATACATAGGGGGACTGTGTTTTTATAACAATATACATAGGGGGACTGTGTTTTTATAACTATATACAAACATGTAGGGGCCAGTGTCTTTATAGCTGTATATATAGGGAGACTGTGTTTTTATAACTATATACATAGGGGGCCAGTGTTTTTATAACTATATACATAGGGGGCCAGTGTCTTTATAACTGTATACATAGGGGGCCAGTGTCTTTATAACTGTATACATACATAGGGGGGCAGTGTCTTTATAACTGTTTATATACATAGGGGGCCAGTGTCTTTATATCTGTATACACAGTGGGCCAGTGTCTTTATATCTGTATACACAGTGGGCCAGTGTCTTTATAACTGTATACATAGGGGGGGGGGGCAGTGTCTTTATAACTATATACATAGGGGGATAGTGTTTTTATAACTGTATATATACATAGGGGGCCAGTGTCTTTATAACTGTATACATACAGGGGCCAGTGTCTTTATAACTGTATACATAGGGGGCCAGTGTCTTTATAACTGTATATATACATAGGGGGATAGTGTTTTTATAACTGTATACACAGTGGGCCAGTGTCTTTATAACTGTATACATAGGGGGCCAGTGTCTTTATATCTGTATACATAGGGGGCCAGTGTCTTTATAACTGTGTACATAGGGGGCCAGTGTCTTTATAACTGTATATATAGGGGGCCAGTGTCTTTATATCTGTATACATAGGGGGCCAGTGTCTTTATAAATGTATATATACATAGGGGGATAGTGTTTTTATAACTATATACATAGGGGGCCAGTGTCTTTATAACTATATACATACATGTAGGGGGCCTGTGTTTTTATAACTATATACATAGGGGGCCAGTGTCTTTATAACTGTATATATACATAAGGGGGCCAGTGTCTTTATATCTGTATACACAGTGGGCCAGTGTCTTTATATCTGTATACACAGTGGGCCAGTGTCTTTATAACTGTATACACAGTGGGCCAGTGTCTTTATAACTGTATACATAGGGGGATAGTGTTTTTATAACTGTATATATACATAGGGGGCCAGTGTCTTTATAACTGTATATATACATAGGGGGCCAGTGTCTTTATAACTGTATATATACATAGGGGGATAGTGTTTTTATAACTGTATACACAGGGGGCCAGTGTCTTTATAACTGTATACA